TTGCATTAACTAGTGTTTTTGCGTATGGAATTAAGCCTGTTTTAGTTACTTCTAATATATGTATTTTTTTACAGGATTATAGATTTGTTTGCGCTTAAAATTTTTTTCTGTAGCGCACTTTGTTTGCGCCTGTAGCCATATCACCGGGAATGCGCCCGATCTCGTCACAAGTGGCACGAGTCGTGGAAGCTAGCCAGGGTGACAGTGGTTTGATGAGCCACCGCCATGCGGTCGCTGCTTTTCGCGTCTCATTGTGACCCCCAAGGATTCACGGATGCACGAGCGGTCTAAAACCCGAGGTTGTATAAATAAAAAATAATCGTTTTTTTCCTGCGTTGATAAAAAAAAAACATTTGAGGATCACTATAGGAGTACAGGAGCATGCGAGCACAAGCCTTTCAACAGATACTACATGTTTTGGAGCGCATAATATTATCTATTACACACCCAGACTGCAATCTGTAAAAGTCTGTGGCAGGCGTGAGTCATTTGGCTCATTGCGTGGCCCGTGAGTCTGCTTCGGAGCAGTTGAGTCAACGATGCTATATTTATACTACCTGTTTGCACCAGGCCCTTCTCCATGAAGTCTCTTGGGCTTCGTCGCTTCTTTGTCTACTATTTCGCATCCTCTACAGTATACACCATGTCATCATCATCATCATCGTTAGCAGTGAGTCAATCTACGTCTGGATGTAGGCCTCCCCAATCTGCGACCATCTTTCACAATCCTGCAGTTATTATAATACACTACCTGCACACTCGGCGGAGAGACGTTTGTTTTTTAGTGAATTCCTGTCGATGAGGCGACAAGGCCAGGGGACTGTGGACAGCTGTTTATTTGCGTTCAAGGCGCGTGCGTGTATTTGAACCTTATGGCGGGACGCCTGGGTCCCATAAGCCCCCAGCTCTCGCATAGACATTATATTATAATGTAAACATTATATTATATATAATATAAACATATTATAATGTAAACAAAAACTTTGCTCTTTTTCCCCAATGGGTTTGAAGGATGGTGGCAAGTGTTGCCTTGTTAAACTACGCCTTTAAAACTGAAAAATACTTGCCTGCAGTACCTCTATTTAAAGCCACTATCGAAAAAAATGTTTCACCCCTCTGTCAATCGTCGTGTTTCTCAGTGTGGATTTGTGAACACACTTTGTAAACGGTACATAAAATAGTACGCGTTTTCAATGCGCTGTTCATATTGTAACAAACGTTTATACCAATGCTACTCTACAGAGTAGTGGGTCGCCGCTCCTCTTATCCGCATTGATACGAGCGGTACGTGGGGACTATGGCTTAACCGCAAAAAAACCTATCTGCACAGACGCATACGGACAAGAGAAGTATTATCAAACAGGAGGAATTAACGCATCTCATCTGTTAAATATCTGCAGGTTATAGGATTATCATAGATTGATCCTGGCTGCAGACATTGGTAGGTCACAAATAATAATGAAGATAAGAGAGCAGTTTCACTGTTATGCATACCGTTATGGTCAGCTCTCCTGCGCATCTGACCTCGCTGCTGCGCTTGGACGACACGACAACAGAATGATCCGCGCCAGGTGGGTCGCGGCGTTTATGTGTGCGGTGGGACGGAGTCGGCAAAAATAAATATATAAATTACAATTTTGACTTGCGTTCATTTGGGACCCCGGGGTCCCGCCATAAGGTTCATCTGTTGCCCACTGATTTATGGTCGTGTGTGTTTCTGCGTTTTTGAAAGACACGCTCGAAACGACAAGGACCGCAACCGAGAGGAGGAATGCCATAAACAATTGCTCGGTCAGCAACGAAGGCCCGCTTGACAGCAGCATGCATAGTCGCCCTCATCAACAGGGACGCAAAGTTGCACACTGCTGTTGTTTGACGTGGTTATCGGCTCCGTGCAGAATGCACTGTTGGCAGATGAACCCCCTCGATGGCTCAGTGTCTTGTAGGCTCGTGTGCCAGCGATGGGGGGGGGGGGCGGTTGCGGTGGGGGATGCTTCAGAAATAGCCTGTCCGTCTCTATGCCCGTGTGTGGCGTTACAACAGTTGTGTTTCCGTTAAAGTGGTTTCCCACTCGAGTGGTCCCCGTGGGGCAGTACTCGTTCGACGTTCACAGCCGCGAATCGCCGCTGGAAATTCCACTTTCCTCTAATGGGGAAGAGTTTATATGTGGCACAACCCTTGTTGACTTCCTACGCTGGAGGGGGGTGCTCCCCTTTATTGAGCCTCGAGATATCAAGGGCTAAGTCAACTGCCAGCCATCTGAGATTTGAACTTTCGACCTTCGGATTGTGAACTGCGCTGCGCGCTTTAACCCTACTTTGCCACCTGACTGAAATTCGTAGTTCTGCATTCAGTATGCGGAGTGATCCATCTTTAGGCACTGCACAAAAATAATGAGGCATGATAAAAAATAACAATTAAATTCAAAGCCTCTACCCGTTTCCCACCAAATCTTAAAACACTAATTTTTCACTCCTCTGATATATGTAGCCATTATTTTACAATATTTAATTAGCCGTTGAAAAAAAGCATGAGGGTCATTAGAAATCGGTGGTATATTTATAAATGGATCACCATGTATCCAGTATAGTCGTATTGTTAGATAGGTGGGTGTTTAGTGAGCCATTTCTTAATTTAACTCCGTAAATATATATTATACATCGCAGGATCATACGACGCCGCGATGGCGGCTTTGCGAGCCCTTCAACCAGCAGTGGATTGGCCATGGCTAATGATGAAGATGAAATACATTTATTTACATTAGTAATGATCTTGTAATCATGATAATTGCTGATGTAATCAGCATTGTGTCTCGCCCGAGAATACCGCACCTCCGATTAGCACGGTTGGCTACGTACCGTGTGAAAGAAGTTCAACATGTGTTATTTGTAAAAAAATATAGGAAATAAAAAATGCGTACATTTGATATTGGAGCCATCCTCATAGCGCATGGCTGTCGCGTAGGCCCGACGTTTCACAGGCATAGGTTGCGGGAGTTTCGCATCGAGGGGGCGATGTTGCTATTTGTAATTTCAATTGAGTAATTATCATGGTTATTCTTTTTTATTTGGCAAATTTGAATCATGATGCTGGCACGCAATGACCTACCCTTTTCAAAAGACGTCGCGGGTACTTAAATGCCAGCTGGGAAGCGGACGGTGCTTAATTTACTCTAAATTTAACTGCAGTTTCGATTTAAAGCTTTCGTGACTGCAAGGATTCATCTTCTTTGGTTCTTTTGGTAATGTCACGTAGAATGAGAATAAAATGATAAATTTATAAAATAAAATAACACAATAAAATTCTCACGACGTTTCGGCCACAACACAAGGCCGCTTGTGTTATTTTATTTTATCAATTTATTATTTTATTCTCATTCTACATGACTTTACCGAAAGAACCAAAGAAGATTTCACTGCAGTATTAACCAGGGTGGCCTGCTGGGCCCTAACCGCAAACCCAGTAGGTAGCGAATGCGCCGCCGCTGGACTATGTCACGTGATGATACAGTCATCGTTCATCCATGAACTTTTCTCCAGCACTTTCGCAGAGCCCAGTGATGCATTTGTGGAAGGGGCCCCTTCCACAGAGAGACACGTGTGTGTGTGTGGTGTGTGTGGTGTGTGTGGTGTGTGGTGTGTGTTCGTGGCACGCACGTGGGCTACTCACAGCGCATTTGAAATTCGAAGAAACTGCGTCCACTTCTGCTTTCCCCTTTGTGCCGTGGGCCTTGCAGCCGTGCGTGCTGCGAGAGCAGGAAGCGTCGGCGCCGAAATGCACTGCCACCGTGGGTGTCGTGGTGGGTGTCGTTTCGTGTTTTTCGCTTGTCACCGGACACTCCCCACCTAAAATGTTTTTTTTTTTTTTTTTAAACGGCGAAGAGAGGAGCCCACAAAAATTTGGACAACACCCTCGTTGGGGTTTTTTTTTTTTCTAAGTGTCTCTATCTTGTGAGATTGCGCCGATGAACGCACCCTTTAAACACACGGAAACGCACGTAGCCAGTAGCTGCGTGTGCAATAGTATTATCATGGCACTGTAGTTCAGTTCAGTGCATTTTTATCAGGGTGTGGAATTTCCGCTACTGGCTTAGGACCACCAATTGCCACTGAAGAACGGCCATTTGTTTGTGAAGAGCGGTTTAGTCATAAATGCCGTGCATTTGTGGATTAAGAGTGGAAGGCCCAATTTCCTTCCTTCGTAAGGTCCTGCCGTGCCGAAATCGAGTTGTTGTTCGCGGAGTTTTTTTTAATTCGCTTCTGTTTGCGATTGGCATATTGTACTGGTCTCGCGTTGTGTGGCAATAAAAAAAACATTTTAAAAAGCGTGGCGGGGTTTGCGGCACTGGAACATGAAAGTCTGCAATGAGGCAGGGGCAGCAACTGATTGGTTCCTACATTTTGAAGATGCATGACGGCATTGACGTTTAGGGAAGGCTTCATTTATGGTTCTCAATGGCAACTGTTGCGTTCATATTTTCCATTTAACATTTTACGTACGGATTACGTGATTATTTTGACGCGCCGCGACTCTTATCTGCAGAAAGATTGCGGACGAGTCTTTATAGTGCAGCGGGAGTCTTTGAGGTGCCGCTTGTGTGTGTGTGTGTGTGCAACACAGAGTGGGGGAGCCGTAGTGTAACTGTTGGCACGCTGCGCTACGAACCCGGTGAGCCGAGTTTGATTCCCGCTCACGATTGGTAAGTGGCGAATAACTAAACCTGTCCTGGGCCACCCCTGGGTCGAACCTGGTGCAGTGTTAAACACGAGCACTGGGGGAGACAAATTCGGCCGGGTGTGGTCTTGCCCACCCAACCCCCTCGTGTGCCGTAGCGGCCTGCATTGGCGCTCGCTAACAGCACTTGCCCCAACAGTCTAATAAAGGCTACACTGTGGGGGTGGAATCGTTGTCTTTTGCAACACAGACAAGTTGACAGTGAGACCGCCTCTGCGCCGTGTGTTCCCCCTCCCCCCCCTCCCCCACCGCGTGTGTGCGAAAAGCAGCCAAGCACATGATTAGTGACATGACGGAGATGCGTCTGCTGGCTCTCAAGGGCGAGCACGGCAAGAGCTGCACGGCGGAGCTCATCTGGACGTGGGGCCAGCGCAACCACACGGTGGGCGAACTCCTGGACTTGCTGGAGGTGATCGGCAACAAACGCGCGCTCAACCTCTTCCTGCGTGAGAGTGAGTCGCCCGTTCTCCTCCACCGGTGTCCCCCCGCAACGTGAAATAATACCACAGCCCACATTTCGTTATACCGCTTTTGCGTTCGGCAACGTGCGCCTGAGACGAAGCATGCATTTGGAACTCTCGCGGGGCAGTTCATTTCTTCTCCGTGTTAGAGAACGGTCCGCGGAAGAGGATATTACAGCACTGCTTCTGAGATCCATTACAATTACTTGTTATCTGTATGAGGAGTATTGCACTTTTTCTTGCAACACTCATATAAATTTCAATGAAAAAAATTCGTGGCTATATATTTCGGCATATTCATTGAGCGATCGGTTTTACTCTTGACGATTTTTTCACGTCACCTTTTGGTTCGCCGGGCTCGGAGCATACGTTCCCCACGCTTGAGAACCTTACGTGGGATAGCGGGCGGTCGCCACGTGGATTCTGACTCGCAGCATGCCCTGTGACCCTGAGCCTCTGGGCCATCTCTGTTACACCCCATTTAGTTTTCGCTGCCACGGTATGTTGTGGGTAATAAATTAACAAACCAATAAGACCCTTTTGTTAGACATCATCCATGTCACTCGGGAGGGGGTGAAGCTTGTAGGGGCTTTGCTGCCTTCAAGAGGCAGGATGTAGGGCGGACGCAATATGTAAAGGATTGTTGAGTAATGGTTCGAAATAAAAGTACGGTATTCGCAAGGGATACATTCCGAAGATGTTCACGAATAGCACATTTTGTTGATAATGATATTGACCTATGAAAACCTATCTTTTATCTCATCACTTTCTCATCACTTTCTCACATCACTTTATCTCATCACTTTCTCACATCACTTTATCTCATAATTTTCTTACATAACATTCTCTCTCATCACTTTTTTTCTATTTTTCTTTTTCTCCCTTTCTCGATGCAGTGGTGTAGAGTTCCAGATGCGATTCGCGGATAGCCCAAATCACGGAGAGCAAGTTCGTGAATATCGAGGGAATACTGTAGTCTATTACAAGTTTTAGTTGCTAAATGGACTGGACTATCCTAATGTTAGGAGACAGACTCTGTGACGGTGAGCTTTGTTAACGATAGTGGGTGGTAGTTGAATGGAACACTTTCCTTTTCTTAATCGTGCCCTCTAATGTTATATGCATTCAAATTGTGATCTTCTGCATTGACTTGAATTGTATTGCATTGCAGAGCAGCATGACATTGCTTGGCATTGTTGTGATGTGCTGCTGCTTTTGTTGTTGTTTAGTTAAGATGACCATGTCGCCGCCTTCACTCGGCGCTCCTGAATCTCTACCGCCGCCTCCCTTGGCCTTGCTGGATCCGGTGAAGGTGCCTTACTGCCCGAACGTGTCGCCTGTCTCCCACGTCCACGCCGAACCAGCGCTGTGCCAGGCACAGCCAAGTGACAGCGAACCCAAAGGCACGTGAATGTTATCTGAGTCAAAGTGGAGGTGGCCAAGTGGCGTAGGTATCGGAGCGCTGAACTGGCACTGCTGCTGAGATGTTGGGTTAAAATCAAGGCGGCCGCTCTGTGATCAAACCATGTTCTCGAGCGCAGTGATTTCACTTGCACTTTATTTCAGTTGGTAAGGCCCATTGAGCTAAGCAGCTCTGTTACGAGGACGAACACGGCCCAAAAGCTTCGGCAGTGGCGGCAGTCTCAGGAAATCGCAGTGTGGGACTGTGCAAACTAACGAGCAAAAGTAAAATGTATTTCTACTAAACCCATGGATAAAACTTACTGCAAACAGTTGATTGTGTTAGCCTGGTCACCAATAACTGCACAATAAGGGGACCATTCCATTCAATTTGGTTCCACATTTTATTTTGTTAAATTCCAACTCTGAAAATGCAACTATTAGTTTGGACTATCATCCAACGAATATTACTCATACGGCAGAGCACGTGCAAAAATCCTGCTCCCTTCTGGGTGGACTAGAGATTACTTCAATGGACCTTTAAGGTAGACCTTTAATATCCGTTTCCGCGGGCTGTTATGACGATGCTGACAATTGTGATGACGGTGTGCCGCTGATGAATGACAATGAAGCTGATGACTGATCATGATGCGGACGATTCCGAGTTCAATGCTCATGACGACAACAATGATGAAGCGGATGCTCGTGGTGATGATGATGGCTACGATAATTACATCAGTGGTAATGACATTGAAAATAATGATGTGCCTCTGCGTGTGCTTTACAGAATTGAACGTTCCAAATGTGTTGGACGGTGCAGGGCTTCCCTTGCCCGGGCAACCGCCGGGTGACACGTTTTGCCCCATCTCGCCCGGCTCTGCCAACTGTTCCGACAACCTTCAGCCGAGCAGCAGCGATAGCAGCGGCAGCGGCAGCAGCAGCAGCAGTAGTAATATCACCAGCGACAATATGGGCGGATCTCTGCGCAACTTGAAGGAAGATAAGTGCAGCAACTTGGACGTAAGGCTCCTTTCCCTCCTACATCTTGGATGGTTCCGTTGACGAAGCTTGACGCTGTTTATGCGGTGTTAACTCTGGGTGTACGCGAGCGGTTCGCAAATGACTCGCTAGTGCATCCAAGCAATCCCTGCACTCTGCTCATGCACGGTGACCGCTCATGCACGGTGACAGCGGTGAGTTAAACATAAACGTAGCCCGTGTTAGCCTTTGCTACAGCGTTTGGATAACTGTTGTTATTCAAACTTACTCAGACACCACTGTTTAAAGTATGCTTTTTATATATATTTAAAACAAACATCTGCGGAAGGTGGTGCAGCCTGGGACACTTGCCTGTGACAGCAGAGCCGGCAACCGGTAATCATGGGTGGGTGAACCTTTTGAGTGTTAATCCGCTCATGTTTTATATGGACACTTTGGTTTCCTGCTACGTGCACAAAGCACTCCTTAAAAAGGAAATGCCCACATGTGGCGATGCAGACCAGTCCTGGAAAAGGCTTGAGACTCGGTGACCCTTGACTGGATTAATGCAGTAAAATGTCACTGCAATTTTAAACCCTTGTTGGATTTGTGATGCATGAAGGTCTGGCTGTTTATAACTTTATATTGTTTCGAGCCAGCTGGTTAACTCTTTTCAGTCAACATTATGTCTGCGGTTAATGTAAGCATCGTCAGGAACGCCAACTGTGGGTGTCGTTTTCCCGCGCATTGTGCGCGTGATTTTCTTTTTTTTGTCGAGAGGTGGGTTTTGTTCAGCGGTTCTCCACCTGTGAGTTTGCAAAGCCTTTCGGCGGGAGGAGGGGGCCACAGGTTGCGCCATGGATACTGAGAAGGAGAAATTTCAGTTAAGCACAGGGAATGCCAGTGCGGTGTTACCGCGCCACAACGCACCGATACACAATGCGAGACGTACACCTTGCTCGCACCGTATTGACTAGAGGCGTGGACATGTGATCTCTCTCTGTCTTGTGACCTTAGTAACCTGGTGGGGGGGGGGCGGGGGGCAGTAGTAAGGTTGGGGGGCAAAGGAACCAGCGGTCATGATTTGGGGGGCCGCTACGCTGGTGTGGTGCCCTTGTGTATATTTGCTTTTGTTTTGGCAGAGCGAGGTGGACAGCAGCTGCAAGGCTACGATGGAGTCCATCAGCTCACAAGATTCACTCTCCGACAACAACGCCGCTGGTCAGTGGCTCGTGCTTTTTTTTTTATCCCAGGTTGCATTGTTCTCTGTTCACCTTCCCGGTGCGGTGCTGCTGCCGAGGTGTTCACGGTTGTGCAGTACGGCTCTCCGACGCGTCTTCGGGTCACGCCGAGTGTTGTTTTGGCGCAACGTCCGACGCTTTGCTCCGTGTGTGGAGAGCTTCTTCAGCACGCGGAGCGAAACGTCGGACTTAATTAAAGGTGGGCCATGGTGGCCACATTTAGAAACGTGCATATATGTTTCCACACGATAAGCCGCTTGGTTAAGTTATCACTTGTGGCCAGGCCGCTTCTGAAAAAGAGTTGCATAGCTCAGTGAGCTTTACCTGGTAAAATAAACAAAATAGTTTAGTTTAGAAAATATACAACAAACATAATAAGTTATATTATATTAATAATCGGACACAAACTTTGCTACACACGCAGACATCTACGCATTTTTTTTGGGCCTGTGCGTTTATTTCAATCGATCGTATCATTACATGCCTAGCACCCAGCCAGGGGTCGCTTATTGATCATGTAGTTAATGATCAATAGCGACTCGTGCACCTCCGATTTAGCGCGGTTGGCAACGTACTGAACATACAGACAGTCCTCGGGTTGAGGAAGACCCGATTTACGGAAATCCGACCTTGGGGAAATGCTCCCGTAAATCGTTAAAATAAAAAATAATTTTGCGGACTTTTTTGCGTTAGTTACATAAGCGCAAGTAGCGCGGCGCGGTGAGGTTGCGATTGATTACCGCGGAGAGAGGCGTCGGGCGGGTAGCATCTTCCCCAAGGTGGTGGTGTACAGCCGCTCTGCACTCTTGTTACGTAATTATTTTCCTTTTGTAGCGTTAAGTAATTGTTTGTTTTCTGTGCTTCGAACTATCTTTTTTTCCCCATGTTTCTATTGCTAGTTTTCTTTATTTTAAGGTTATTTCATGAGTTTTTGCAGTGTGTAATTAATTTAACATAAATACGCTTGCGTTGCTTCTCATCTCAGCCAACAGCGGTCGGACAAGTCTAGGCCTAGCTTAATGCACGGTAAATGATAATTCGGAAGCGACTGCTTTCTGTAAACAATTCATATGAAAATGTTTTGCGGTATTCATAAACAATTGTATACAGTATGTGTTCCATTAGTTTTAATTATGGTTAGTGTTATGGTAGATATTTGATGAAATGAAAGAATTGTAGAAAGTGCAGAGCGTATGTACAGCAATACGCTACAGGTGGCGATAGAAAATGGATGACAGCGCGAGACGTTACTGAGAGAGAACAAGCGAGTAATCGGGTAGGGGAGGCACAACTATTTCCGGCTATGGGATTTTATTGTTGATTTTGGGGGGAAATTGTCGAGTTTCCGACATGGAAAATTCGGGTTACGGATCACTCTCGAGAACCTAACCGTTCCGTAACCCGGGGATTGTCTGTACATACATACATACACACGTAGTTCCTTTGGCTAGGGCTCACCGATCCTAATGGGAAGTTCGTCATCGATCGGCTCTGCTTGCCTCGCTTATCGCCCTCCAGTGCTCGACCTGCAGCAGATATTCTCGCTGCAAGCCATCTTGGAAGGCACCCACAACTTCAGCATCGACCGAAAGCTGGGAGAAGGTGCCTTTGGCGTCGTGTACAAGGCTGACATCCACAGGACCCCATTTGCCGTCAAATTGTTGAAAAAGGTTGTGGTGGATTTTACTCACCCCCGTCCCTCCCGCTGCATGACTTCGTTTTTACCTGTCTCTGTGTAAATGTGGATTTTTGGTGTTGTGTTGGTGAGAGGGAAACGTGTACAGAATGAGACGGTTCTGGTTTTCACGGATGCGTCAACAGTTTCCGGATTAATGTGAAAGAAAATCTGAGAAGTTGGGCCTAGAAAGTGAATTGGTTTAAAGTGTGTCGTGGCAGGAAATGACGTCACTTTTCACATCACTTCTGTGCCTTCTCCCACCAAATCTTACACAATCTAGATGATTTCAAAACCGCCAAAAAGATCAGAAATTGCGCTTAAATGAAAATATTCGAAATTCAAATGCTTAATGTGATACTGGTCCCAAATATAGACACATGTACGAACTGCAGTCCACACTTGATTATCCAGTAACGTGCTCATGTTGATTATCTGGTGGTGTGCTAATGTTGAACCGAAAGAATCGTGAAGTTGCCATCATCTGGCGCGTGGAGTCTCCGGGCCATCGGGTGTTTGTCCGGTTTGCTTGATGCTCTCCCGTCTTGCTGTTGCAGCAAGGTGGAATCCAGTGGCAGACGGTGTTGGAAAGCCTGCACGCCGAAATGAAGCACCTTTACATGTGAGTGTCGGGACCTCCGTTCGTAGTTGTCTCTTGGCTGTGACAATTATAAAATAAAATCCCACGTGGCGCCCATTAATGGGAACTTAGTCTTTCTTTCATAGCTTACTTTGAAATTTCCGCCACTCTTAAGTCTCGGTTGCTGAAGCTCCTAAAGAATCTCCCAGCACGTGGAGTGAAACGTCGGACATGGTGCCAAGCAACACGCGGCTCGACCCAGAAGCACATCGGAGAAAGCTGTACAGCAGGGCAACCGCGAAAAAAACCCCACGTAGTGACACTAGCGCTGCCTAGCCACGAGTTTGAGCACGGACTCACTCTGCCTTGAAAACTCACTTATTTAGGACATACGCATGTTGAACGTCTTTCACACCGTACGTAGCCAACCGGAGGTTTAGAACTGCTATGTGTTTAGTTTGTTGTCCTTCCTCCGCACCTCCGATGAGCACGGTTGGCTCCGCACGGTGCGAAAGAAGTTCAACATTGCGTACGTTCCTCCGACTCTCCGTGGTCTCACGGTTAACGTCTGCTGCCCTTGTTCTTTTCTTTCCACTTTGAGGTTGCGGCATCCGAATGTGCTCGAGCTGGCTGGGTTCTGCCTGGAGCAAGACAACTGTTGCCTGGTTTACCACTTCATGCCCAACGGCTCTCTGGAAGATCGCCTGCACCGCGGGGTGAGCAGCTAGGCTTGCCCGGCTTGGGGGGGGGGGCGCACGGCACCTTTTACCACAGCCTCGAGACGTGTTTGGAAACTGAGCGAGCGAGACCTTTGCCCCCTAGTGGCGCGTGCGTCTTTTGACCCGGTGCTGTGAAGGCGAGGGGAGGGTTTGTGGGTTGCACAAATGTTGCCATACTCACAAACCAAGTCTGCTATGAGATCGTCATCTCCTGGCATGCCAGGGTATGGCAAGTACAGCCAGTGGATTTGGGTTTTCTCCGGGTACTCCGGTATCCTCCAATGTTGATGGAGTCGGCCAAACATCCAAATATAGGACCACAGAGCTTGGGCAAATTGTTGGCTACGTCCCTGCTTGTCTGTGGTTTCCCACACCTCTGAATCGAACGGAAACTGTGTACATTGCAAATTAGTGTATTTATTTTGTTAATTGTAAGTTTTTTGGATGTCAGGTGGAAACTCGGCTTTGCAGCAGAGGCCTAACTCCCGAATCAGTCGAACGGCATTGTCTGTTCATCGTCTGTTCATCGTCTGCGTGACGCTCATTGCTCGTGGCCTGTCCCTTTTGCTCCCGGGAATAAAACAAAACAGTCTAGAACTCGGCAGTAATCATTCTCGAATCACATTTTGACCTGAAAATGATGAAAATTTAACAAATCACGGGAGGGAGTGAATTTTTGCATCCCTTGTAAACTGTGCAACAGTTGCAGGAGCCAGCAGAAAAAAATCGAGTTATGATGACAGTGGTCATCTCTGGTATTAACGGATGTGTGGACATGGTGTCCTCTTGAACCTTTAGCTGTCAGCTGTTGTATATAGCTCACATCTGAACAAAGACCACACTTTATCAGAACACAAACAAAGACCACCTGAACTGGGTTTAACAAAGGTTTTCTAAATTTATTGACAGGTATGTACTGTTTAATATCCACATTTATTTGATAATTTGTTATATTTGGAGTTTACATTTAAAGTCTAGTTCAATAATTTATTTTTATGTCCAGGGTTACGCAGTGGTAACACCCATGCATCATAGCAAGAAGGACCTGGGTTCAATTCCTGACGAGGGTGCATCCTGTGTGTGGAGTTTGTATGTTTTCTCTCTGTTCTGCACCGTTTTCCTCTGGGTTCTCTTAGTTTCCTCCCATAGCTAAACAAAAACATTCACTGTAACTTAAAAAAAAAACAAATCGTGCAGATTACTTAATCACCAAATTATTTTACCATACTTCACACCGGTCAGTGTGGGTTGGTGAGGACAGGGGACTCTTAGGTCTCGAGTTAATGTTAGCATACAATTTGTATACATCGCAAATAAATTGATTCTTAAATGCACCATTTGATCTATGTATCGTGAGCATAATCATCTAATCGAGGCATCGTTGCTACACGCCCTGCGTTTGATGTGTTATACGATCATTAACCCTTTCCCGAACACATATGTCATAAAACTGGAAAGGGTTAACCAATCGCAGTGTGAGATGAGGGGGCCTCTGGGCCCCTCCAGGATCTTGCTTGTTAAATACCATTCCGCCCTTAACCCTGTCACGACCATGTGTTTTTCAACTGGACGTCACCCTGCAGACAGCTGGCTTTAAACATTAATTCTATAGTCTTGGGTCAGTTTGCTTTCTGTTAACTTTTTTTCCCGGAATGAATGGAGCATTTCCCTGGTCCTTATGCAATATTTGTCTTTTCCAGATCTTGCCACTAGAAGGCAGCAGTAGACGCATCTCGTTTGTGTGTGTATGAGGGAGTGGTAGCGGAGCGGTTAGCATGCCCCGCTACGAACCCCAGCGACCTCAGTTCCATTCCCTCTCACGGCCAACACCAGTGACGATTAATCTGAAACGGTTCTGGGCCTCCCCTAAGTCTACTCGGCCTCAACTGAAAACCTGTTGCGGTGTGTAAATGTTGCCACTAGGGAGACAAAGGCGGCCGGATGTGGTGCTGGCCCACCCACCTCCTCGTGTGCCATGCCGACCTTCATAGGTGCTGCTTGCTAACAGCACTTGCTTCAACAGTCTTTTAAGGCTATACGGAGGATCTTTGTATTTTTATGGCCTCCTTGGGCGTAGTGCTGGCCACCCACCTCCTCGTGTGCCGTGCCGACCTTTACAGGTGCTGCTCGCTCACAGAACTTGCCCCAACAGTCTGTAAAGGCTATACAGGGGGATCTTTGTCTTTCTGCTTGTCCATAGCCTTCAAACATTAACCTACATTCCCCTCTTGTAAAATATCAGGACCGTCCAAAGCAAGGCGGTGTTTGGGTCCAGAGAATAGACAGGACCGGCTACGGTCGCCTATAACGCAAGGCGTTATAGGCGCTCTACCAACAGCACTTACCTGGACGGAGTTGAAGGCTAAGCGATGGGGTGAGTGGTGAATGTTCGTATGTGTCTCTCTGTCAATGCAGAAGGGCGATGGACCTCTGTTGTGGCGGACAAGGTTGGAGATTGCGGAGGGAGCTGCTCGGGGCCTTCAGTATCTGCACACGGCTCAAAAGGACCCAGTCATACACGGGGACATCAAGAGGTGCGATGCCCCTTGTGTCTTATGCTTCTATTTTTTTTATTGCTTCTTGCCATTGCATAGATAGAAAGGTTCTTCCCTCTAATTACTTAAGCCACTACTGGCAGAAGGACCACCAGAGGAAGCTCCCGTATTTGGCCTACTCTTCCACACTGGTCAGATGTCTGGGAAGAGGTGGACTACCCACACTTTAACCCACCACATACGTACGATGGGCTGATCTTTTGCAGTGTGCATCCATTTAAACTTTTGTTGTATTGTGTTGGTTGGCAAACCTGCACTACCAACCTGGCGGCACGAATACGATACTCATTCACGGCCAACACCGGTGACGATTATCTGAACTGGTCCTGGGCCTCCCCTAGGCCGACTCGGCCCCAATTGAGTACCTGGTGCGAGGTGTAAAAATATTGCCACTTGGGACATGGTGCTGGCCCTTCATAGGTGTTCGCTAATTACGCTTGCCCCCCGGAAGTCTTAAGGTTACGCTTGGCATCTTTGTCTCTCACTCACTCTCTCTCTCTCTCACCGTGGTCCCGCAGTGCCAATATCCTGCTGGACAGCCACTGCCAGGCGAAGCTCGGCGACTTTGGGATCGCGCGCATGGGCCCCTTCCTGGGCGTGCGCAGCTACACGTACGTGCGCAGCGCAGAGATGCGCGGCACGCTCGCCTACCTGCCTGACGAGTACGTGCGATCGCGCCAGCTCTCGACCAAGGTGGACAGCTACAGCTTTGGCGTGGTGAGCTTTGACTTGCCCCGCCCCCCCCCCCCCCGCGTCCCATGCTCCTCGCGTATATTCCAGTGGTGGAAATGGGCCGAAACGCCCCAGAGTGCCCCGGAATGCTGTGGTGGGAGTGAAAATTTGAACCGAGTCTGCGTTCCGGAAGGAATTGTTGGGTTCATCTTTTTTATTTGACTCTCAGATAGATAGACCCCGAGACTTAGAGAGAGACACACCCACAGGAACGGGGGGGGTCTCCTTTGGTTTTCTCGCTTGCCAAACGTGCGCTCCTGCACACACACACACGGGACGCTTGTACGCACAGGAATACACAATGCATACCCAACGCGCATACAAGCACTCGCATACCACTCACACCCATGCATTGTATGCATCCACTTCCTTCTCATAATCCCTTGTATTATTGTAAAAAAATGTATTTACAACAGCACACGTTCATCAGTGGGAAAAAGTATATAATAGGTGACGTTTCAGGCAATGGTCCTTTTTCATAGCACACATGCCAAATACATTTGGTGAATACGTTGGAGACTGCACTCTGCTCCCATGGGGCTTAATTTAATTCGGAGCCCCTACTATGGACGATAGTGTCGAGGTTTTGTTCTTTGTGTTTGTGCCACCACTGCCAATGCGTAGTAGCACGACTCTTTTTCTATCATTACTATACATCACCACTTGCCCCAACAGTCTAATCAAGGCTATAAGCACAGCGAAAAGTTTCGCCTAATGTTTTTTTTTATCGAATGTTTTGCCAGAGGGAGCGTGTGGCATCAATGGTAGCCGTTGGCAAGCAAACCAAACCGTTGAAATTACCAGGATCTCAATAGGGTCGCTAATTGGAAGTGTTGGAGTTTCCCCAGTCGATGATAGTCCATTGAACATTGGGACACACGAATCGTCAACAGCCAGTTTGGCAGCGTGAAATAAGTCCTGCTGGTTTGCAAACGGACGCTTACAATTTGCTTCCACAACGTCCTTAACACAGCCTTGTAACAGAAAAAAAAATACTAGGCTATCGGTTTGGATTATTTTAAGTCAAGAAGTTAGTGATTTCTTGCTCGACTAAGCATTGAGGTGGTAGTAATCTCTTTACAGCTATGAGCCAGTGGTGGAAATTCCACATTCTTATGGCTGGGGCAAGTCTACCATAGGACAACCAATGTTGACTTGCTCACAAAGTGATGCTCATCTTATGGAGGCTGCAGGAACGATACTTCAACCAGCATGACATTTCCATGCTTCTGATTGCGAACCACATGGCCAGAATTGCGTAATTTAATGCGACGTATTGTTTTCCTTCGTTTTAAAACAATTGAACGGCAATGTTTGCAATTTGGCGTTCTCTGGTCTGACACTGGTGAGACTAGGCCACAAAGAAGGCTGTCTCTGGTGTAGGCTAATCAGTTTCAAGGACAATGCCATATATTTTCAGAGCATGTTTTGTTTGCATGTTCACCACAAGTATGTGTGGTTAATGGAGACTTGAACATCTGGTTAATGGAGACTTGAACATCTTAACCCCTCCTGTTTTATTGCCAGAAAGGGTAAAACCTTATTATTATTTTTCAAAAACACGGCAGGTTTCCGCGGCCGAGTGCTTCATGAACACGCCGCGGCGTTTTTTCCCCCGTTCCCCTTCAAGCACGCGGATTAGAGCGTCATCTTTGCGAGTGGTGTGTAATCTCAGCGGGGGGAGGTTGTGACAGTCGACGTACGCGGTGACACCTTGGCTCGGCGCCCCGTGTGCGTTCCTGTTTCAGGTACTGCTGGAGCTACTCACGGGGAGGAAGGCTGTTCAGGAGCAACCGCAGCCTCAGTTCCTGGTGAGTTCTGGAAAAGTGTTTTTTTGGTCACCGCGCTCGTCTCTTCGTCCGAAGTTCAGGGTCCGAATCCCCGTTTGCATTGATGCTGCCGCGCTGCGTGCAAGCTGCAAGACTTAACAATTTCGATTTTGATTGGCGAGCGATGGAGCGCGCTTTGCAAGGCATGTAAATGTTGGCCGTAGTAGAGTTTTTTTTGGGTTAGATCGTGTAAATGAAGATGTGTCATTAAACCTGCCACCACCCGACACAGCCAATTTGTAAAGGGGTTTGTCGCATAAACAAAATGTGCCGATTAGTTACTACTTCGGCACACCGGTTGTGTGTTGGAGGATAAACCCATAATATTGATGAGTATTGTGACATTTCGCTGGTGATTACAACCAGCCTCATCGAGTGATTTCGCCAGAATTGGCCAATCGCCTTGCGAGGCTGGTTGCAATCCTCCGCCTACGCAACAAATGGACACCGACTTCAAACGGATGTGCCGCGCGTCCCAGGAACTCCTTTTCAGCCACGAGAGTTTCACAGAAGGGGACGGTGGAGCGGGCCGATCGGTGTCGCTAATTGGAGGGTAATTCATTTTGTATTTTGCCAAATCTGGGCGGTAACGCCGGCATGCACGGCCTGCTCTTGTTGAATGACGTCCAGGATTTAGCGTCCGTCGCGAAGCAGATGGTACGCGTTTCTATTAACTATTTAAACTATTTTTATTTTACCAGGTGTGGCTCTTTTTCAGAGGCGATCTGAGCACAAATTATAGCTCAACGAAGGGGCTTACGTGGAAATTTATATCGGCAAAATACTCTAAATTCATGTTTATAAATGTCGAGGGAAAAACAGGAGGACTCGGAGAAAAATCCACGCGACCATGGGGAGATCATGCAAACTCCAAATATACGGCAGGCGTCCGGGTGGAGGGTGGAGGGGGGTGGGTGGGGTGTGGGGGGCGTCTAGTGGAGGGGGGGGTGTGCTGGGGGAGGGAGTCGTCTAATGCGGTAGGTGTGTTCGGCCCTGCGACTTTTCACTCGCACCACTTGCTGGTGGAAGGGTCTCCACTGGAGGGAGCTCTAGAGGGAATTTGGTCTCCCCTTCCACACTTGCGAGATGTCTTGGAAGTGATGGGACCACCCAGACCTTACCCCACCACACACGAACTGCCGACCGACTGGCTGCGGTGGGCGTTACCCAGTTGCACTCAGTTACCGGACATCTGAGAAAAAGGGATTCCTCCAGTCGAAATAAAGTTCCTGATTCTGACACCGCTGGGTGGACAGAGAGGCAGCTGGGATTGAAATAAGCCCCTTCCGTTGCTTTCAACTGCCCCGCCGGGTCGATCAAACCGGCGATCTCGAGCCGTCGCACCCCGGCCAGCATCCCTGCGGGGGAGCGTAACCGCGAGGGAAAATCGCGGTGAGACCAAACTGATCCGGCCTCTCCTCCTTCCCTCCTGCTGCCTGCTCCTCTCGCCACCTCCAGAAAGACGAGGTGGAGGACGCGCTGGACTCGGACGAGGTGGGCACGGTGAGCGAGCGGATGTTTGACCGCTCCGCCGGGCCCTACCCTCGGAGCCAGGCCACCGACGTTCTGCGTCTGGCGTGCAAGTGCCTGGACAAGCGCAAGAAGCGGCCCGAGATGACGGAGGTGCGGTGTCGGTGCGGCGTCACGCGGTGTATGTGTGCCCATCTCACTTAGCTCTCCTGCCATCTCGCCTCTGATCTCAAATCTGCTCCCCACCACGCACCGTCTTACCGCTCCCAGACTCCTCCATAATCCGTGCGCGTGCTTAGGTTTTTCCCCCGACCCGTTTCTCATTAACGACGCGGCGTCGGCTCTTGCAGGACCAGCGCGGGTTGCGTCGTCTAGATTCGTGCGAGGGGTTGGGGCGGGGGGGGGGGGGGGGGGCGTGCAAGGCACGTTGAATTGTCTTGCCAGCTCCGAAATGCGCCGTCTCCTCGACCAGGTTCTCGAGTTCCTGGAGGCGATGCGGCAAACGGATGCCGAGGAGACGCGCCCGCTGGCCCTGCCTTCGGACGCCGCGCCGACCCCGCTCGACCACCGGGGAGCGCTGCCGCTGGAGCCGGCGGGGCCTCGACAGGTCCCCGTCGAGTCGACCGACGTCCACCAATTCCCTACGCTGCCTCAGGACCTGCGCTCGCGTTCGCCCGTCACGGCGGCGACGTCCGGCGCGTGGCTCCCTCTGCCGCCGCCGCCCTCGTCGCCCTCTTGCCGTGGGCGCGAACCCTCGTGGTGGGGGGGCGGGGGCGCCGCCTCGCTCGCTGACGACGCCGGGAAGCTCTTGCTGCGCGCGCCCTGCGAGTCGGACGATTTGTGCAGCGCGGGCGCCGGCAGCGGCGGCAGAGCGGAGGCTGCTCCGTTCGCCTTGTCGCTGGCGATGGAGAGCGTGCACGTGGGCGGCGGCGGCGGCGGCGGCGGCGCCGGTGGGCCGGACGTGAAGCCGAGGGGAGTGGCACGCTCCTTCGAGGCCGGTCGAGAGTTTGCGGCAAGGATGATGGAAAGCGGCGGCGGCGGCGGCGAGGACGCGCTGCTTTGTCACCGCGGACTGCCGCCGCAGCCGACGTCTGGACGCAGCGAGCACGCGGGCACCGCCAAGAGCATGGCGCGGCCGGGACATTACGAAGCGGCGTCCCTGTCGCTCAGAGGGGCGGAAAACTGTTGGGCGCGGAGGGTGGACGGTCCGATGTCTCTTCCACCGCCGCCGCATTCGTCGTCGACCTCGTCTGCGAACGCGAGCCAAGGTGACCGCTTGCTGCCGTCACTTGACGTGCGTTCGCCTGTCTCTGTTCGTGGCCTGGTGCCACCACTCTGTCGTTGTCGGCACTCGACTCTCAGTGGGAAGGTTGCAAGTGCCAATCGTGTCGATTTGCGATCCGTGCTCGATGTCCAAGCTTTAGAGATTCAGGTCGAAGAGGGATGTGGTTTCATGCATTTATCATGAGCACAATAACTCCTTTTAATCGATTTATCATGGTATTCCCGCCGGTGATCACCTCGTGTCTCTACACACTGCCTGTGACTCAGTGTTGCCTTCCTGTGTATGAAACTAAAAACCGTATAAGAATAGGTTTTACCATTTCTGACAATGAAACGGTTGTTAAGATGTTAAAACACCAAACTGAAACCGTTTGCAAGGAATCGTGTCTGCATTAACCACGTGGTGAACATGCAAGCAAAAAGTACGCTCTGGTAGTATATGATGCATTGTCTTTGAAACTGATTGGTCCACACCAGAGACAGCTTTCTTTAGAGCCTAGTAAAGGCAATGCACTATCATGATAGTGCATTGTCTTTGTGCTGTTCGTCTTTTGGTGTCCTCTGGTCTAACACTGTTTGGGCCGAGGGTGTGGTGATGGAGTAACTGCGCCGCTTTGCCCCCCCGTGCACTGGCAGGCAGCCGAGCGGCTTTACCGGAGCCAACAGGGATGTGGCTGAACTCGGCTCGCCGACGCATGGAGGAACGGATTAACCAGTACAACGAGGGTCACATCACCAGCGCCGAGCTCTTTTCGGAGACCGAAGGTGTGAGGGCGACACTGTGGACGGGCCCATTCGCCGCCACACGGCCGTGCCGATTAACTAAAGGACATCCCGGCCCAAGACAAATATCTCTCATCGTGTAGATCCGCGTGTGTCCCCCACCCCCTTCCCTGACCGTCACCATCGCGAGCCGAAGCCCCGTTAATGAAGGAAAGGCTTTTTGAATCGGGGAGAGGTGGGAGCGTGCGTTTCGGGTAGAGTGTGATGAGAGGTTAGAGTGGTAGGGGTGTGTGTTAAGGTTGCTCGAGTGAGGCCTGTATTTTGAATTGTACCCGATTGAGTTTTGTGATGCTAATTCCTACACCGCAGGATCGTGGGAGGGTGGCAGTGACTTGAAGAGGCCTTCATCCAGTAGTTTGACCATGGATGATGATGGTAATGATGGTCCTGCTCATGTTTCTTGTTTGTGCTGTTTGCAGGTACAAACAGAGTTCCAACTGAGGATTTGGAGTCTCGGACTGGGAACAGATGATCCACAGAACACCGTCTCGAGTTAATATTCACTGGACTTTCTTGGACCCAGAGTGGTCATTGCGATTTAGGAATGGGACCACACTGCTTCAGTGTGAAGGGCATGATGTGTCTTGCCTTGTTTGGTCTCTCTATGTACGAACAGCACTTTGTATTTTTGTTGCCTAATATCTTAGTTTTGTAACCAGACAGACCCGAATTGAAAACAAAATAGTAAAGTTATTTGTTTTCAAGAGCATAACCATTTAAGTACAGCACACATTTGAGGGCGAGCTGATCTAGGGGAGGCCCAGGACTGGTTCATATAATAATCGTCACTGTTGTTGGCCGTGAAATGGAATGGAACACTCCCCACACTGACACTCGACAATCACACATATAACAAAGATCCCCCGTATAGCCTTAACAAAGTGTTGGGGCAAGTGCTGTTAGCGAGCACCTATGAAGGACTGAACGGTACATGAGGGGGTGGGTGGCCAGCACCACTCCAGGCCGATGTTTACACACTGCACCAGGTACTCATTGGAGGCCGAGTCGACCTAGGGGAGGCCTAGGACTGGTTCAGATAATCGTCACTGGTGTTGACCGTGAGCGAGAATCGAACCCTGGATTGCTGGGTTTGTAGACACATGCTCACTGACATACGCACGCGATCACTCACTGACACACACTGACACCCTCATTCCATCCACTCTCCCTGTCAGTGCCATGTTTATCTCTGTCTCTCTACGGCCTCCATCATTCGCTGTACGTCTGTTTGCGCCTCTTCTTGTTCGTCTCCCCGTTTGCTGGAAGTGAATGGACATTGGCCTGCGTGCCTCCCTTTTAATTAGGTGGTCACCGAACATGGTTAATACGAGCGTACATATATAAATTAAATACCGGGATAAATATCGTGCTCTACGTTGAATGGGAACACACACATTTGATCAATATTAATCTAATATAAATACAAATCATGAGAGACCTTGCTTTGAGGTGTATGGCCATTCATGTCAAAAGCTGAACCCTTGCGAATGTTTGACTTGGAGTAAAAAAAAAATGTAAATGTTCATTCGATGGACGCCTTGTAGTGCACCTAGCCTGGCACGAGCGCCGTGGCGATGTCACCGCCACTTCGTGGCGAACGGCGGTCGTTGTGTTGTGGGAGGCGGGTTTGTGTTCAATGTACCGGTTTGACTTTGTTTACATAATAGTCGTAATCGTGGGAGCAGGCTTGAAAATGTTCGGGGACGGATCTGGGTGGAACGTAATGTGCCGTTTGTAAACGCACAGAACGCCACGATCCTTTGGAATTCGTTCAGGTGGTTATCCTGAAGTCTGCGACGCTGTTTGTACGTACAAGAGAAGGTGGTACAGTTGGTTTAAACGTCAAAGAAACTATATTGGGACCTATCATGTGTATATACTAGACTGATTATTGTACAGATTGTGTGTGTGTGTGGCAAAAATTATTGTAAACTGGATATTATTATGCCACGCATGCATTTCTATTTGCAAGACATTTGGCAATAAAGAAATGAAGAGACTAAAAGTGCATTTCACACGTAACTTAAATAATAACCACCAAGGAGAGTGAGCGATCAAATCAGGTCGAGTGCAAGATCGTGAGGTTGCGGTTTGGGGGGGGGGGGGATGCCGTCATCTAGCAGTGGATTGATCATGGCTGCTGCCGATGATCATGCCCCTACATGACGGCTCTTGCAACTGTAATATGTAGTCACAACATGCGGAAACAATATAAAATGTGACGTGCGAGTTTTTTTTTTTTACAAATTTATAAATCCCAGTGTTTATGACGTGGTGTAATTTGCTTCCCCGAAGTTAAAGTGAAGTGCTCGGCAAATGTAATAACAGCAGCCAATCAGATTGGACTTGTCTCGCACATGATACATGTTTCATTGATATGCAGCTGCTGTTATGTGTATCTTTTTTATATATATTAAGCACATTTTTGAAAAGTACATTACATTTGAACAAACTGCATGTCCTGTATAAACCAACTTTAATAATTTGAGCCAAAACTGGGAACACATGATTTTGCTTAAAGTATATTTTTATATATATACACACGCAATAGTGTAGCCAGGGCATTGATTGACAATTCAAACCACCAAACATTAACTTTGATCAAGTAACACCCTTTGGACAGTAACTTTATGTATTAATATTCAGTACAGCATTGAAGCGTGTGCATTTGCAGTAACAAATTGCCTTCTTTGGTCTATACATGTATTAAAAGCAGTCTATTTTATTTATACCAGTCTTTTAAACACATTTGACAAACAAAGACATTATTTGATGATGCTGCTGTGTTGGCGGTGGTGCGCAAATCACATAAAAAAAAACTTACTCAAACATTTGTCGAGAACCCAGTGGCCATGAAGGGTAAACAATCGGCAACTTTTCAGGCCTTGGCTCTTCTCATTTATGTTCTAATGAAAAGGACCATTGCCCGATATGTGACCTGTTGTATATTGTTTTTCCTTTGAAGGCCACGGGTGTTATTGATGCGAATGTGGTGAATTGTTCTCAATAGATTGGTTTATATGTTAATTAAAACGATCTACTTTGATAAAGTTGTTGATGACAACCCCCCCCCCTCCGGAGGTGATGCAGCCATAGACGTAAGCACAAATCTATGGGAAGTTCCAGCGTTAGAAATTTGACACTTGCAAACGAAATGTATGATTTTAAAAAATACCACAGAGAATAATTTAGTGAATTTAAATGTTGCAGACCGAGTGCTTTTGTGAAGTTATGGCCGGCTGACTATTATAATTTCTTTGGTCCAAAGATTCGTGACGGAATTGATAACATCTTGCTGGGTTACGTCGTTCGAAGTTGGTGATTTGTGGGATCTGCACCCAGAACATTTAAAGTAATTTCGTGAGAAAGACTTGGCTGCTTCCCAAAATCATATTAATATATAATGTGTTATATATGTTAATGGTATGACTTGAAGTCAAGCATAATGGATATGATGGTTTCTGGACAGTAATCAAGAAGATTTATTTTTGAAGAACTTGAAATGGACAAGTGGAACATAATTTGTCATTTGAAAGGAAGAACAAATTTAAATCAAGACTGAATTATAATTAAAGTACATTTCTCATAGTATTTTCATGTTATACCTTTACATTAATCACCAATGGTCTTTTGCAAAAAAAATAGAAGGTATATTTTTTTAAACCTTCCAAACGAATACCTTTCAACCAAACACTACTCTTACGTTTGTAGCTTCCCAGATTAAAGAACGCACTACTCTCTTCAAGTTTAAATTATTACGCCCGGTCGCCTGGCTGGCTCTGAACACGACTCGGCTCAGGCTTGAAGTCCCCTCCGTCACGCATCGTAAACACGCGAGCGGCTCAGCCATGGCTGAGCACGGCTGAGACGAATGCTCGAGAGCGGGGACTCGAGTTAAGCACGGGTTTTGTCGAGCCCCGTGGCTTTTAAGAATGCGGGCCCGAGTGATGTCTAATTTGTTTTTGTTTGCTGATAAGTATGCTCATCCACTGGTGGCTAGGCAGGAGGAGAGCCGTAAAAAGGCAATCGCTCGATTGCTTTCGAAGGATCTGAAACTCAAAAGCAAAAACAAGTTAAATACGCAATTCTGAATCCAAACAATATAAGTGGCTCAGCGGTAGGTTTTCAGTCAGAAGGTTGTGGGGGGGGGGGGGTTACTCGGCTCCTAATCGATCCGTGGTCGATTAAATCAAGTCGACAGTGGTCGTCCTTTGCAAAGACTTGTCACCGCCACAGGAGTGTGGAGTTCCCACCACAGCATCACTGCGGAATAGAGGAGAATTGGCACTGCCTCAAATGCAAATTTTGAGTAGAAAGTCGCATTTTAGAAAAAAATATAAAAAAACATTCCCCTTTGTAAACTGAAGAAAATATTTACAACCCATGTGCAACATCAAAAATATTTTTTCGTGATGCGTAGTGGCTGTTAACAAGCAGCCTTTGCACCAAATGTTTTTTTTTTTATAATCTACAGTGATTGTTACATTACAGATAAGTCAGTGGGGACTTTTCGAATTATTAACGCTGGTCCACACTCATAATCAATCGCTTACGACGAACCTCTAAATCGCGCAACTTAATTGCCTGCTCGTATGCAACCAAGTCGTGCAACTGATCGCTCAAGCGTCGACTTGCCTCTCTTACTTAAACAGTACGTCATCCGTTTTGGGCATTGTTTGTGGGTACACTTGATGCCACGGTATATGCTGGTACGAGGAGATTGTATTAATGCAAAGGATGCTGTTGGCTAGGTGTTCATTAAATTAATTAAAACATTTTAAACTCCATTCCAGTAACTGAACCGATTTGCTGGTGTTGGCGTATGCTGCTCCTTTTTTTGTGTGATTACCATACTATTGTTTTGTTTGTATATAACATGCATGCTTTCTTTGCAATCCCCCCCCCACCCCCATCAATGCTTACTTGCCAGTCACGGCCACAATGTCACGTCCGTAACGGCGATCTGTCATGCAACCCGGGCCGCAAAATGAATAAAGGGTGAAAATATGTTTTGGTTAATTCGAGGCATCGTCGTATTACGTTGTCCTTGCACAGAAAGAGTGGGGAAATCAAATACAACTCTTAGCAAATCGTTACCAAGAACAAGTTACGGATGTCACATTCGGTTTTAATAACAAAATACCGTTATTTTTGAATCGTTGAAATGTTATCCTTTATCTCCACAAAAATGTGATGTTACTAACCTGGGAATGATATACTAATTTTACACAGTCGTATATTCAATATGACGTACAGATGTGCAGCTCGAAAGCCATCCTTACCATTGATTTCCTAACACGCGTGGCTTTTTGACTTCTCAATGTTTTTTTTTTTAACAGACGGGGCTCTAAATTGTCTGTTAAAGAGAAGGAATATTGGACGTTATTGCTATGAAACGTTGTTTTCAAGGCCTTGGTTATGCTAATCATCGACTCACGGAAGTGCCGGCGTGGAATCCACAGCCACCACAAACACGAGCAGGAAATGCGTTAAAAAAATCATTTGTTTCACCGTGTTTAA